CCGTAGACTGACACACACCCGTAGACTGACACACACCCGTAGACAGACACACACCCGTAGACAGACACACACCCGTAGACAGACACACACCCGTAGACTGACACACACCCGTAGACTGACACACACCCGTAGACTGACACACACCCGTAGACTGACACACACCCGTAGACAGACACACACCCGTAGACTGACACACACCCGTAGACTGAAACACACCCGTAGACTGAAACACACCCGTAGACTGAAGCACACCCGTAGACTGAAGCACACCCGTAGACTGAAGCACACCCGTAGACTGACGCACACCCGTAGACTGAAACACACCCGTAGACTGAAACACACCCGTAGACAGACTCACACCCGTAGACAGACTCACACCCGTAGACTGACGCACACCCGTAGACTGACGCACACCCGTAGACTGACGCACACCCGTAGACTGACGCACACCCGTAGACTGACACACACCTGTACTCACTCACATGATGCCTGTGTTGCTCCTGTTCTCTGCAGGTACCTGAAGTTCACGCTGGACCAGTATGTGGAGATGGACTACATCCTGGTTTACTTCCACTACGGCCTGAAGAGCAGCAACAAGCCGTCTCTGAAGTGGCTCCGAGAAGCTTACGGAGAGTTCGACAGGAAGTGAGTCTCCTCAGGTTAAACATGACGGTTACTTTATTTTGGTCTCTTTCAGTTTGAATTGTACTAAACTTATATTATTCGTGTTCACAACTCTGATTTTGTTTATTTTGAACAGGTACAAGAAGAACATGAAAACTTTGTACGTCGTTCATCCGACAAATTTCATCCGAATCGTGTGGAACATCTTCAAACCTCTGATCAGGTAAAGAACTCACCTGCTGGACCTCAAACCGTGTGAAACGTTAAAGCTTCTTCATGTTTCTTCTTCTTCAGTCACAAGTTTGGGAAGAAGCTGACGTACGTGAACTACCTGACTGAACTCAGAGAACACCTGAACTACGAGCAGCTCATCATCCCCCCCGACGTGCTCAGGTACTCGACTCTGCTCTTCATCCAGGAAGTGGTTTAGATTGGCTGAGCAGGGACGCCTCCCGAAACCTGGTTCTAGAGGGGAACCGGTTCTAAATCAGTAGAAACAGAGTATTGATGCTATTTGATTACACACAAGAATAATAGAGCAATGTCTATTTTTCTGATATTTTATTTAATTTTTAATTTTATTTTTATTAAAATTTTAAAATATTTGTATTTTAATTATTTTGTTCGTTTTGTATTACATTTTTTAAGTTTTTTTTTAAAAAATAATTGTCTTAATTAATAATGTATATGAATACATTAACTGATATGAAAACCTTTCTTTTTGTGTGTCTCCAGACACGATGAGAAGCTTCGAGCTGCTCAGAGAGGAGGAGGAGGAGCCCCCCCCTCATTGAAGACCCCCCCACCTCGACCCCCCCTCCCCACACAGCAGTTTGGAGTCAGTCTGCAGTAGTGAGTAGTACTGACGCAACAAACGCGTAGTTTAGCCGAGCGTCTGTTCTTCTGACTGTAAGTTGTTTCTTGTTCAGCATCAGAGAGAAGAACAGAGAGCAGATGATCCCTCCTGTGATCCGTCACACTGTGAGCTACCTGAAGGAGAGAGGTGAGTGGTGATGTCATGAGGTCATTGTATATAATTATAGAATGTAAACTCCCCAAAAGTTGTGGAATAAATTCCTAATAAATCATGAAATATGAGCGTATTTGTTGGTGATGTTGTGAGTGTTTCAGGTCTGAGGACCGAGGGCATCTTCAGACGCTCGGTTCGAGTTCAGCTCATCAAAGACGTTCAGAGGCTCTATAACCTGGGTGAGCGGGGTCTCCCTCCCTGAGGAGCAGGGGCCTCTCAGTACCAGGAAGTGGAGATCAATGTGTGATAACATCATCTACTGATCCGTCATTCCGGATGATTAATAATGTGTTGATAAAGTTTATTTGAATCACTGACTCTTCAGGTAAACCCGTAAACTTTGACGATTATCACGACGTCCACGTTCCTGCTGTGATCCTCAAGACGTTCCTCAGAGAGATGCCAGAACCTCTGCTCACCTTCACAGTCTACAGCCAGGTCCAGGACCTCCTCAGTGAGTGGAGGGGGGAGGGGGGGGATGTGTGAACTCTTCCTCTCTCACACGTTTGCTTGTTTGTTGTTGTAGCCGTGGAGACGAGTCTGAGGGTCAGCCGCTGTAAACAGATGATGGAAAGTCTTCCTGAACATCACTTCATCGTAGCAAAGTACCTGCTGAGTTTCCTCCACACGGTACGAGTTATGAATAGATAGATCGACTTTATTTCAGACTCAGGGTCCAGAGAGACAAATGCATAAAAAGACAGACACAAACAATAAAAGTACGGAGGCCTAGCAATGCCTCACAAAGAGACAGCTGTACCAATGTCGCCACAGCTGGACTGGTAGCGTGTGCTGCTAAACCTTATGTTGGTTAAAACAACTATGATCTCATTTTCAGAGTCATTCAGTCAACAAATGAATTTATACATGAGATTTCTTAACACAGTTTGCAAAGTGTTGACTCGTGCAGCCACGAGTCTTTCTTAAGAAAGACAGAAATAATAAACTTTAAAACTTGTGTAGCAGCTTTCTTACATGAAGTACTTTAGATAGAAATGAAAACATTTAATCAAACATTTTAAAAACAATAGAATGAAATACAGATGTTTTAATATGATAAACACTTAAATAAGACATATTTTATACTGAACGACACAGATTTGTCTGTTTCTTTTAATATATTCTTATGTATATTATATGTTCTCTGTGGACGTGTTTGTTGATCGTGACCTCACTGATCGTATTGATCGTGACCTCACCGGTCTCCTCAGGTGTCTCAGCAGAGCCTGGTGAACAAGATGAGCTCCTCTAACCTGGCCTGTGTGTTCGGGGTGAACCTGGTGTGGCCTCTCCACGGCTCCATCTCTCTCACGGATCTGACGCCCATCAACATCTTCACCGAGATCCTCGTGGAACACTTCCCCACCGTGTTCGGCTCCCGCTGCCCACCTGCACAGGTAGAGCCCTGAAACCTGTAGACCGGCACCACACACACCTGGACCCAGACCGCACTCTTCTTCTGGGAACACTTTAAAAAGGCAAAATATCTCAACAACTACCATGAAATCAGCTGTGGATATTCATTGTCCCCAGAGGACACTTCTTAAAGACTCCTGATTCCCACCGAAACGGACTGAACGTTCCTGCTCCTCAGAGGATGAACCTTTAACCTTGTACACACTGTTGTGGACTTTGAGTTTTCCCCTCTAGCGACACCTTCAGGACCGGTGTAGTCTTTGCACTTCAAATTATCGTTTTGTCTTGATTAGCCTTTGATCATTTTTGTTAGTGTTAGTTGCAGATAATTGAATCACATTATGTTGTTGATGGTGCAAATATGTTTAATAAAAGTCTGACATCTTTCGAATATGTTTCTCTTGTTCGTTCACTTAAATAAGACGATAGAAGTGTATATTTTTCAACATGCTATACTATGTCTCGTACATGCTATACTATGTCACGTACATG